AAAAATATAAGAAAAACCAAACAATTCAATGAAAACACAGGCAAAGATGGTTTCAGGGATATAGTCACAGATGAAAAACCTATCCAGTTGCACACTTTAAATAAACATAGTTTACTGTATGTCAATTTTAACTCAATACAGTTAATTAAAACATGTAATCTGACACCCCCACTGGACTGTCAGTTCCTCAAAGGCAGGGATTATAAATTACTAGCATTTGTGTCTACATCCACATCTTATAATGCAGAAGCATAAAAAGCATTTGAATAAATACCAGCCTGATGCACATAATACTGAGCAAAACAGAAAGGACACTGCATCAACTGAGACTCAAATGACGAGTCCAGAAATATTCCATCCCAGGGCACCATGTCGTGAGCACACATACATATAGACGCTCACATCTGCACAGTGTGGTAAAGAGAACCACAGCGAGACCAGGAGACACAAGAGACCCAGTGACTCTGTACCAAGCCTCACTGGACTTCATTTTGTTATCAGGGTCATTAATTATCTTTTTACATCACAGAACTATTTGAACAGCCAAATAAGACAAGTTCAAAATCCTTCAAAACCATACAGAAATCAGAGTTGGTATGATTACACTTATCTGGTCAGTCTACCAGCCTGATGGGAACCAAGAAAGCGAGGAACACTCTGACTTATTTTTTTTACCTGTTTTCTGCCCGGCAGTAGACATGACTCACTTTTCCTGCCAGTTCTGCTGACATTCAGAAGGACGTAAGGACTTGAGGTATCCGGGATGATACGATTTGCTACTGGGGTAGTTTTACACTAAATATAAAGCAGTACCTTGGTAGATGTCATTAACTGGTTCTGGGAGGCAGGAGGAGTACTAAAAAATGAGTACCAAACCATTCTGGCTGGAAAGAGTGTAAGTCCCAAGGCAACTGATACCCAAGTTCTAGCCTGAGCGTCCAGTACCAAACAAACAACGAACACTGGGACAAAATTTTTGCATCAAAATGCCCAGTACCTAATCAGACCAGTTTCAAAGCGGTGGAGTACCAAGATGACTGAACTTGCCTTCTGCTCCACTGTGCTCACCAAACCAACCCCCTTAGAGCCCTTGGACAACCTCTAGTATTGAAGCTATTTATTGGGTGTTGTAGAGGAACTCCCGACAGAAGGAATAAAAAAAAGAAGGCTGGAGTTTTAATACTTTTCCTCCATCCATACTTCCTCACAGACTACTACAGGGAAGATCACAGCAAATAGAGGGATAACATTTTCTAGATAATGTATTTGCTGCTTGCCTGACATGTTTCATATTCATTTAAGAGTCTGACTGCAACCAGATGTCCCACAATGATGATAAATTTAATTTATTTCCAATTTCTGAAACTCTTCTACAGATTCAGGCAGCACAGTCACAGCCATTAGCTCACCGAGCGTGGGTGCATCAGTGAAGGAATGGAATTGATCAGGCAGATAGATTGCAGTACATGGTTAAGAGTTTCCTAAGAAGGGAGATGGCAGAAATCCAGACATCAAATAGATGATGAAATGGCCATTTCCATTAAAGGAACATCACATCACAGATATTAATTAGGAGGCACTATAATACAGTTAAGTGGATGTGGGAAAAATGCCGAGTTAAAAGTCACCTCAAATGTCCTTAGCTTGAGGTAACTACAGATGTGCAAGTGAGTCATGGATCTGCATTTTCCCAGTCATTCTGCAATGGCTGCAGGTAAGTTAGAATCCAAAGATCAACTCCAGAGTGATCCTTTTTCAGGCTGGGGACAAACTATCCTTAAAAAAAAAAAAGGAAAAACAGTCAATGCTTTCCTTTTAATATTTCCAGAGAAAATGACATCTTTTCCTTATTTATAGTAATGTTAAGGCAGATGACTGTAAGAAATACGAATTAAGTGAAACAAATTAGTTTTGAGTTTAATTGCCTAATATTCTATTAAGTTTTTTAATTTCAAGGATGTAAATTCATTTTAAAAACTGATGGGACAGTCGGGTGTGGTAGCGTACGCCTGTAATCCCAGCACTCAGGAGGCTGAGGCAGGAGGATCCTTGAGAGTTAGAGTCCAGACTTAGGCTACAAAGTGAGTTCAAGGCCAGCCTGAACTGCATAGTGAGATCCAGTCTCAAAAGACAAAAAAGGAAAAAACCTCCAAAACGCTCCCCCCTCCTCCCGCCAAAACCTGACAGAATACTTTGTTCTGAGTCTTCAGTTCAAATCTAGCATAAGTGCTAAAAAGTGAAAATCATTTAAAGTACTTACTGACATACCAAAATGATGAGGAAGTCAGACTCCTAACTTTGAAAGTTCCATAAAAGCATGTTAAGACAAATATTCAAAGGATTTAGTTGCCCAGCAATGGATTTATGCCAGTTTTCATTTTTTGTTTTGTGATTCCTTGCACTTGCACCTCCTCAACTATATGCTCCCTATGTGCTTACAGGATAACAAACAAATGTAAACAGAAGGCTGATATGTGGGCTGAGACAACACTGAGAACTAAAGAGGCCTATTTTTCTAATTCAGTACCATGTGGGTCATGAAGAAGAAATTCTTTTGCTAAGCATCCATTCTGAGTTTCTAACAAACTCAGACAATTTACAGCTTTCAGTTTCACCTCATCAAAGCAGCAGGAACAAAAGGATAAGGATCGAGACAGGATGTCTAAATGATGTGGGATAAGTTGCTGAAGGCCACTTTACCAGGGAGCACTTATAAAAGTAAAGCAAAACAGTGGAACAAAAATGGTAAAACAAAATGGTGGAGTAAAAAAATCCTGGAAATCCTGCCACGAAAGCAAGAACACAGAAAAATCACACTGAGAATAAACTGTTGAAATTAAAGGAAGCCTTGAAGCAATCCAAGGAGTGCTTACTCAAAGAAAACTGGCTGAATCTTGAAAATAAGCTTTGTGGTGATTTTATTTGCCCTATTTCCAACCTGCCCTCTCAAGCTCTCTCAAGTGGTAGCCTTAAAACCAATCGTCCATAGTCACAGTGAAACACAGCAGTCCAGCAGCCACCAGGTGACGCAGAAGGGGACTGAGGTTCCTCATGTCCCATTTTGACAGAGCTGTCACCATTAGACCCATCTGGTGGTTCCCTGGAAGACCTCACTAGACTTAGAGCTCACCAAGTGTGAAAAGTCAGATCCCTAAGGGCTAGATGAAAACGAGCATAGGGAACTGCTTTGCACTGAGGCTGCCAGAAGTAACAGGCGAACCAGGAAGTTTCCAAGGAAAAGCCGAGGAATGAGATGTCCATAAAGGGCTCAGGACGGTTCTAAAGTATTCCTGGGAATTTCAGAGACCACACACACGCGCATGGCTGTATGAGTGACCAAAAAAGATCTGAGAAGGCCCTCGCCTCCCACTGCCTGATTCTGAATCTCTGTGCAAGCAGGAGGCAAAGGCAAGACGCCAGCAACCACCTGATGAAATGTTGAAAGTGAGCCCCAACATGCACATAGAGCACTTAAGCAAAGACTGGGAAACTTACTTGTTCCTGGCATTTAAGAAAATCTGCACAATCATTAGCTGAGTACTAACCTAAATGAGCAGATTTTAGGGACCACATGCAAGAAAGAATACACTTTGCAGAATTTGTTTAGTAAAGCCATTAAACAGCAGAGAGTAACAATGAACTCTGATGAGGGGAAAATCTGATTTCCAGAGTTGCTACACTATTTAAAATGTTCAGTTCTTAACAACAACAACAACAAAAAGTAAGACATGGAAAGAGGAGTATGGGCCACACCCACTAGAAAAGCAGCCAACAGTCATTGACACTGCACTTAACAGACAAAGACTTGAAAAATGTCTTCGTTTTGTTGGAAACATAACATAAGGACAAAATTTAGAGACTCTCCTGAAGGCTGCCTATGAATGCACCTGAGGCAGTGTGGCTTCAAGATAAGACTACAGAGTCTTAGTTTTGACTTGTGTGCTTCTACAGAGACAACTTAAGTTTTATATACATTTGACATAAATCACAGAGGATGGTTTTATTTCCATTGCAATCTTTGAAAAAGCAATAAACCACATTCTCCAACCCACATGAGTGTTTACTTTCTTATGCTAATCTCAAAGCAACAACAGAGCCCAAGATGAAAAAACAAGTGAATTTATTTTTAGGAATTAAAAGTACTGACAACTGGTGGGGCATTATGGCCTCTATGCAAGAATGTTCTGTCAGGTACTCAAATAAAAGGTTTAACTCAGACAGGTGGCCCAAGGTCAGTTATTAGTTCAACATTAACGCTTTGCAATTCACTGACATAAAAATACTGCGACATACTGCTATCTCAATCTGAAGAAATTTAACAACAAAAATATTAAAACTCTGTAAGAAATCCAAGTATAAATTTGATTAAATTTCACCCTTTCCTCCTCCCATATTAATTTAAAGAAACCAAGGACAGGCAATAATATAATCACATTTCTGCTTTTAGGATTAGAAATTAGGATAAACATAAGGTTACTGATTCACTTCTCTTCTATAAGTTCACTGTTACATTGATGCTCTCCAAAATATTGTTACTGTGTCATTCATTCATATATATAGACATATATCTTAGTTTTAAACATTTTTATTTTTTAGATTTTTAAAATGTTTTTTTATCTCAGTACTCTTTTTTCTTTTTTTTTAATTTTTAAAGGAAACAAGTCACTTAAAAATATAACAGGAAAATGACAGGACACACTCTCAAAAGTATACCTCTATCTTCTTTTAAGAGAATTATTATTTCATGAAAATTCCAACTGAAAAGTACTGAATAGCTGTTCCTCAGATAAAGATGCTAAGGAAGAAAAAATGGGAGATAAAATCTATACTCGGAACATTTTAGGAAAATAAGACCATAACAATTTCAAAACGCAAGTATAATGAAAAAAAATACTGGGGCTAGTGCCCACGGAAGAGAAAAGCTCACCTGAGCAGCCTCTGCTCTTCATGACAGTCACAGACGAGGACAACTATCCCACTGTCTGGACTCCCAAACTAACCTGTGATAATAAGACATTCATTGTGATCCAGCACCTCAGTGAACAGCCGTGCAACAATCAACTCAGGGTTGATTAAAAAGCGGATTTCTTCTTGTACAAGTCCTGCACTGGTTACACCACCTCCAACAAAACGGTTTGCAAAATCCACCTATTTGGGGAAATGTGGCATATTAAATGATGGTCTACAATGCATACATGTGTGATAAAGAAGTACATGTCCTATTTGTTCTCAACTTTTCACATGAAGTCAGTCCTCACTTAGTAATCTCCTAGGGAGGATGACTACAGCTGCCTGTTCTCTTTCCATCTCATGGTAATTAGCATCTCTGTACACTTCTGTGCATCCTTAACCTCCATGAAGCATGTGGAAAATGGAGGTTCTAGGCAAAATGTTATGGATTATACTCTAGTTTATAACCCTTATTTGTGCCCCCCCCAACCATAAATTAAAAATGGTCTCTACCTCTACAGGTTTCAAGGTCATTTCCCTAGCTCCTTTACATATTTCAAGGTCATCCCTCAGCTCCTTTACATACATGGCTTTAAAACAATCATATCTTTCTTAAGATGGTAATACTTGTTTAAAGAACCAAAAAGTTTAGTGGTTGACTGTTTGGGGTAACCTATTTTCTTCTGTTGAAGAACAAAGGAATGGAATTTTTCTCCTACATTCAACTGCAAACTGCATGATTACCAAATATTTTTAAAAAATACCTAGTACAAAAGAAAAATAAAATCTAGTATAAAGAATAAAGATTCAATTAAACTGCCCCACACATGGTAGGCAAGTGCTCTACCATGGAGCTGCAGCCTGAATCCCACATAAACTATGTAGAGTATGGTGGTGAGTCCCAGTTTCCTACTGACAAAGAGTCATCATACAATCTTCATAAGCACGCACACTCAACTTGCCAATATTATTTCAGTTTATGTAAGAAATGGTGACCATCTTGGTCTTATATTATTGTGAAGATTTAGATTCACACTATTTGTGTATATTCACAGTCATATACCCAAGAAAAACAGAATTAAGTAGCGTAAGATCTATGTTTTCAAACTACTATAAATTGTAAGATCTCTTCAAACTTGTTCATATTTTCTAAAGTAACTGATACGAAATCATTATCTGAAGCCAATTTTGTAAGAGTAGAGTAAGAATCTGACTCTTCTGCTATTTTAATATGAAAAGATAGGTAGACATGAATAGATAGCAAAACTGTCTTTTTTTTTCCCCATCACAAAAAAACTAGAAAATAATGAGGCATACCACTGACAAATTCTTAAAATGAACTGTTATTAAGAATCAGGCATTTGGGTTTTTATTTCTGAATACTAAAATAAATGCTAAAAAAAAAAAAACCCAGAGCCATTCTTAAACTGATAGAGCAAAATAATTTTGGCAAAAGCAGTCTGTAGATTTGGATTTGTTACCTACTACAGATGAGGTCTTTAGGCACTGGGTGGTTCACAGCTCATTTTATTCCACTCAACAAATATTTACTAGGCATTGTGCTGGGAGCCACAAGACACAAAGATGAGCAAGTACTGGTTTTAGGCCTCACAGGAGACACAATGCTCCTGGCAGTCAGACACGTAAGCAGAATGGCAAGATGACTTACTAGAGAGAACCTATTAGTATATATGTGATACTTTCCAATAACACCATCACCCAGAATCTAAGAATGGAAGGAGGAAGGGATGGCATTCAATCCAGAATTAGCTGATGTTCAGGCTGAGGGAAGAGCTGCACAAAGACACAGGGGGACGCCGAGTGTCAAAAACTGTTCGGAGGAATGATAAGCAGGCAGCTGAAATATAGGAGACTTTATAGGTGGTAATGAGGTGGTCTGAAGTCCAGAGAATTTGTAGTCAATTTTGAATACTCTGGGAATAATTTACAGAATGAACCTACAGTTTACTAAGATAATCCAGGCTATAGAGAATAATCTAGAAAGGTATAAAATTTTAAAAAAGAGGTTAGTTTGTTGACTTCTGAGTAGTTTAGGCAAGTACTATGAGGGCCTCAAATAGGGCAGTGGCAAAGTAAAGAGAGGAGGCCCAGTGGAGAAATGAATGGAATCCTGGAGCACAGAGATCAAATGAGTGCTTATGAGTACAATGCTACTGTGAACAAAAACAAGAAACCAAGGAGGTTTGAAATCTACTTAAATTTTATTGGAATAACATACTGAACATAACTGAAATAAAAAGGTGAGCTCTATTTAACTTCTGTACTACTTGATAATAACCATGAAAGGCATGCAATGTGCCTGCTATTGCTCACTCTTAGATAAAAGGCCAACAACATTCATTACTTGAAAGGTGTGCACAGAAATAAGTACACTAACCTCAGTATGCCTCTAAGAGCAGAGGTCTTTAAGAAAACCTAAGTTTCTATTACTTACAGAAAGTTCTTAATAAAAGGCTCTCTATAAAATGTGAGAAAGCTGTTCCAGTCCATAAAAACAAGTATCTGGGTGCTTCTTTATATTTAACCAAGCATTTTCCAAGTCTCTTTACTGTAAAGCTACTTGTTCAGATTACTCAGCTTCTGAATTAAAATTTGATGAAAAGAAAGAAATGATAACACTCCTTAGAGAGGTTCTGTTGTTGTTGCCATTCAGCATAATGTAATTTATGTGTTACACAAGGAGCTCCAGAGCACTGCAACACAATATTCCCTGATCTCCCAGGGAGACAAGGCCTGCAGAGGGAGAACAATTAATAGTGCTAAGAGCCTTTATGGTGTTCTTTCACTCTAACGTGGTCTCACATGTGGTCTATAATATCCCGGGAAGTGGGGAGAATCTCAACTTTGACGACTACTACACAATTCCTTGTTGAATTGCACTGTGATGAAAGGTCAGCATTCCGGTGGTGCTAACTAGCATTAGTTTTGTTTTGCTCAGGTGCATTAAGACTCCCTCATTTTATCTGGATAGTAAAGTAGGAAATAATTTCATAAAGAAGGAGATGTGGGGGAAAGAGATGTTCATTCGAAACAATTTTATGAATATTGTAAAATTATTTTAAGTAAAAGATACATGATTAAATAAAAATATGCTTTGAGTGGTTTTTATTTTTTGCTTTTGTACAAATGAAGTATAGGACAAATTATTAATAAGTCTGTTTACAAACTCAAACACTGGGAGAAGGTGACTTAAAACAGTTTGCTTTGGTAAAGATTTTAATCACAATTACATCTAAATAAAAGGCAATTCTAGGAAAAATCTGTTTCATTAGTCACTTGGGATGTGTAATTATAATTATACATAAATCGGTCTACCAAAGCAGTCTATTTCCTGACAAGTGCTTTATCTTCTGATCTAATATAAGCTTCAAAGAATGACCCAAGAATAAAAATTAGCTATTCCCAGTATTAGTGATACCCAAGCTTCTTTCAAAAAAACGGTTTACAATGCTTATTTACATGGTAATAAAACATAAAACACAAACACTGCATCTCTGACTAGTGAATTTTAAAAAATCACTACAAATAACAAAGAAAATTCAACATGCTTAGATTAGGTATATATTTTAGAGCTAGATATAGATTGTATTTTACTAACTTCTTTTTCTAGGTTTTTAAAAAGTAATGCAGAGAATTAATAACCATGACTGAAGAATGGACAGAATTGCCTGCTCTTTGGCAAGGAAAAAATATTAGCAAGCTGGTTCATGAGCTTAGAGCTGTGAGAGATGGGAGACAGGCCTTTCTTATCAATCAATTTTAAGTATCTGCCTTCTAGACCTAAATAAGGCTACTGGTGGCAGAAAAACATCTCAAGCTGGTCATCATTTGGGGCAGAGCAAGAGCCTTTGAAGAAAAAAAAAAAAAAACAACTGCCTGATGACAGCTTGTCAAGACCATACCCTGGGAACTTCCTCCACTGTCAATCTACAATCAATGTCTGAACCAAAGGACTGATGTTGTCCAGATCTTGGGACTTTCTGTCAAAAGCTTTTTCAAGGGGCTCATGTAAGAAACAGGGAGCACACGTTGGTGAATAACATCAACACCAAGGCTGTCAAAGAGATCTGTCCGGTGTTTTTCTGCATTCTGCTATCATGCTTCTTTGCATTAAGTCAGTTTAGAAGGCAAATAAACAGCTTTTCAATTTCCTTTGCTGTCAGAAGCTTGACAAGAGAAAGTCTTACACACATACACACTGAAATTTACCTACCTGCAGCATGCCCTGGCCACTGCTTTCTATGGTGCCTTCATAAGTGACATGCAGCCGTGTCAGGGGTTTTTCACACCTACAATGGGAAGTGATATTCTTTTACTCATTTTTAAAAAATAAGTACTTCACTAAAATAAATGTGTAACTATACAGACAGCTATTAAAAATTGACACTGACTGTCTTCAACATTTTGTTATTGAAATCTGTAAATACACATATTTAAATTACACAGGACAACGTACTGGTTTGAAACCTGCTTTCTTCTGTATCAGTTCCTCTGTAAGATGGTTAAAACTTCTTAAGGTATAAAAAAAATTAAGATCTATGAAATTTTATCCCACAGTTGACATTCTAAGGAAAAATACAGAAAATCTGCAATAAATCATACATGATTCTCAAATGGGCTCTATTTTTACTGGCTTGATAACTGTATTTAGAGAAGGCTGTATTAATGAAAATATATGTATCAGAAATTCTGATCTGTGTCATTTTTATGTTAACAAGGCTAACTGATCCAACTTATTCAGAGGGCACAATTCTTTTCCTCTCAGTGAGGTACTTACCTGTCTTATATATTAAAACCAATTTCACTGTATTAATATTATTTGATATGCTGTTATTTCCTTACTAGATGTTTCCCCCTGGTGGCTTACTGAATAAAAAATATGAATTATAATTGAATGTAACAGAGATGGGATCCAAACTCCTAACTTTAGTAATAACTTTTTGTGAAGAGGGTGATCAGATTTTTAAAAAATAATTTAGCTACCAAAGCACTGTTTATTGATTTTAATGAATCTAACACGTCTGGCACAACTTCCTCCTAATAACTGATAACTTTAAAATAAGAAGGTAATTTGGTACAAATTCTATTCTAAAAGCTTTATTCGTATTTACTCTTTTAATTCTCAGAATAGCCCCATTACTATTTTCTTTTACAAAGGGAAAAGCAAATTAAATTTGTGCTAGCTAGTAAATAAACTAGCAAAGATCTGAACCCTCACCATTTAATTTTATTTTCCTCTTTTTAGGTTGTTTAATCTTACCCACTTTTGTTAATAATCATCTCAGCCACGCACTCAGTCTTCTGAACTTTTTCTTTTATCTCCTGAATAAACATCTTTGATAGATGAAAAAATCAGAAGAAAGGCAACTAAGCAGGTATGCTTTCTCAAGTTAAATTCCCTTAAAAGTGATTCCCTTTCATTGCTAATTCCAAGTAAAACAATGAGAAATATGATTTTTTAAGAAATTGAAAATAAGAGGTATTGGTCAACACATAATGATGCTAATAGTATGCATGTAGTATGCTTGATCACGTTCTCATGGGTATTCAGAAGGCTGATTCACACTTCTTTTTTTTTTTTTGGTACCAGGAATTGAACTCAGGACCTTATGCTTGCCAGGCAGGCACTTGTGCCACTGAGCTACATCCCTGGCCTGATTCACACTTCTGTACATGTCTTGGGGATTTGCTCTAGATTAGGGAACTGATTAACTATTTCAGGGTATAAAAGATCTTACACATCCAAATTAACTCAGCTGTTTGTTATTCTTGGTATTTTCAGATGAATAACAATAAATGAAAAAACCCCACTCAGTTAGGAACCTCCACAAAATCTCAGTGGTACACGGGGAGAGCCAAACTTCAAAATTCTTACCACTCAGGCAAAAGGCAGACAATTCTTGTCTCCCCCTGCCCCCGTACCAGGAACTGAACTCAGGACCTTGCACTTGCCAGGCAGGCACTGACAATTATTGTTTATTTAAAAAAACTCTAATTTGTCCTCCAGAAATAAAAGCTGTAAAATATAAACACTAACCAAAATAGAAGGTAAGAAGATATTTGAGTATCACTGCGTCATTTAGTGTCTTCATACATAAAACCTAATTCTAAACAAAACTTTGGTTCAGTAGACAAAACTATGGCAAAAATGGTAGCAATCAAATGGTTGTAGGTTTTTATTTAAGATATAACTTCCCTAATAATGAGGGCTACAAACTGATTTATAAGAAACTCCCTGACTCTAGGGCAATTACAAGTTTGGGAAACCATGGTTCCAAGGCTGGAAAATAGTAGACAAAACTATGGCAAAAATGGTAGCAATCAAATGGTTGTAGGTTTTTATTTAAGATATAACTTCCCTAATAATGAGGGCTACAAACTGATTTATAAGAAACTCCCTGACTCTGGGGCAATTACAAGTTTGGGAAACCATGGTTCCAAGGCTGGAAAATAGTCCCTTCTCGTGGTAAGAGTCCTTCTAATTTTAAGGTGCTAAGACTTTCTTTATGATTATTACCTTTCCCATTCTGGAAAATCTTCAAGACTCTGTCTTGTAAATGTCACCAACCCAGTAGGTTCTACAGCACAATAAAAAAAAAAAAATACACACAAATTAAGTTTCAATTTTGAATTATACATACACATACAATAATAGAATAAATCTAACAATGGCTATATTAATGAGGAAATAATATGTCTAGCTATGATAGCTGTCCTTGCATGTTTGGTTGGTACCTGGACTCCTTGTAGATACCAAAATCCATGGATATTCCAGTTTCTTAAATTTAAATTATCTGTATATTACTTATAATAGCCAGGTAGCATAGTATAAATGCTAGGGATATGGGTGTTATATTGTTTTAGGGATTACTGACAAGGGAAAAAAGTCTGAACACATTTTTCAGTACAGATTTTATATATGTATATATATATATGTGTGTGTATATATATGTATTATAAAATTATTTTCAATTTGTGGTAGGTTGTACCCTCAGATATAGAGAGCTAAATGTACAACACGATATTGATTCTGATAATGAAAATGTGGTATTTACACACAAGAGTACTACTACTGTACCATAAAAAAGGATAAACTTGAGTCGTTTGTAGGAGAATGGATGTACCTTTAGACCATAATGTGAAGTGAAATAAAAGAGACAAGATTAAATACAGCAGAGATTCTCTTATGTGAGAAACCCAAAATATAAATTAAGAGCAAAGTAAAAGACAGGTAATAGGAACTAGGAAGGTAGATCTTTTGCAAAAGGGAAGGGGAACAAGAGATGGAGGGAAAGGGGAGGGAGGGGAGAGGAAGGGGATGAAAAAGAATGAAGATGTATGATTTACATGTACTGACTCCCCATGAGGAATGTAATCACTATGCATTGCAAATATGTACTAATAAAGAATAAAATTAAGGAAAGAATACTGATTTAAAATAATATCATCCTTACATTAGAAGATTCTTCTATAAAATAATATACCTTTACTAAACAAAATTATACAGGTAACAGCATAATATTAGATTTGAGAACTGGTATTTTTTACTGAGTTTTAAAAACTGATCCCCCTCCCAAGCATCAGAAAAGATTCAGAGTTGAAAAAACTTATGCAAAATCACAAAGTTGAATTTTAACTTATAGACTCTTTCTCTAAGAAAAGCCTTAATCCTATACTCGAAGACTGGCAAACAGGTACACATTTATGTGCTTTATGGTATAGTAAAATGTCTAAGATTTAAAAGTGAAATCTTTGGTATGTCCTTTGGACTCAGCGCAGTTAAATCTAGGCTTAGACAACAGGCAGGCATTGCTGGACTTTTAAGTAAGTGCCTTAGACAGAGGAAGAATTATTGTGTTCTAAGAGTTAACAAAAATGGCATACATTTAAGGAAAGACACATTTGAAAGAATAAAAGTAAAATATTATCAATGCAGTCAATAATTTTAGAGGAGAGGATCCTGTTTTGGTTAGATTTTTTTTTAAGCCAGTGGCAAATAATATAAATCAGTTGTCCAGAAATAATTTGTCCTCTTCAAATCAATTATCTAAAAAGGTCAGGCTATTTTGTGGGTTTTTTTTGTTATACACAAAGAGCTCTTAAGCAGAAAGAGAGAGAGAGAGAGAGAGAGAGAGAGAGAGAGACAGACAGACAGAAAGAGAGAGAGAGGTAAGGAGCCATTAGTGATGATTGTGTTGAGGCCTGTGAAAGCCTGGGAGCATTTCTTCGCTCTCAGTGAAACAACTCAATAATCATATGGAGTAGCTGTATTAGAAAACAACTTTTGTTAACATGAGTCTTAAAATATTCCTTAGAGATTTAACTTTAAGACAAATCAACAGCACCCTTAAAAATCACAAGAGGCTACACCATCCCAATATCTGTGAAATAATTCTTTAACAGGAAACTAATGTATACCTGATCATTCAGACACTTGGTGGAAGGAATGAACATTAAATGCCCTTCAGATACACAAAGAGACCAAGAGAAATTCATAAACTAACACTTGCTGGTAAAGAGAGAAAAGGCAGAAGGACTGGTTCCTGAGATGTAATTAGTAGATGCTTTGAGAATGTGTATTAGCTTTTTTCATTAAATGGCACTTTCACTTTAGAATAGGGTATTTTGGTTAATCAAATACTCATCTTAATTAAAAATCACAATATACACTTTATACGGCTCACTGACTTTTAAATATGTGAACCATAAGATACTTTATTGAAAACTATATTAAAAATAATTCAGAAAGCTCTTTAAAATCTTTTAATCTTGAGATCTTCATCCTGAATTTATAGCTAGATGTTTAATAATACTGAAAAGTTGGTCCTGACGGAATTTTCTTCTATCAGTTCTAAAAATGTGAGCCCTTTTCCCCCACCACATATTAGGTTTCTCAACAGAATACAGGTTTTATAATAGATAAAAGCACAAGTTTCTACCAGATAGCATCTGCTGCTGCTGCCACCTAGCGGCACTGCCAAGGGAAACTCTGAAGTCAACTCTGTGGCAGGCCTTTGTGGACCCACTGGTGGGAGGACTCCAGACCTGAAGTTTGAAGTCTGTAGTTTAGAAGACTTCTCTCCCCCTCTAGCCAGTGTCAACCTGGGATTCACAAGTTTCTTTACTGTCCCTTTCCTGCACAGCCAGGTTTATTTCTCATTTACCTGTGACTACGGATGCAGACCTTTGGTGTATCAACTTTGTGAGACAGGTCTCCTACCAGACTCTTCCACTCCATGTGTTTTTTCCTTTTAAATCTTGAAAACCTAGAGCAACATTTTACTGCATTCTACAAAAAAACTATATTACCATAAGTAGTGAAAAAACCAGAAAATAAAATGTCTGGTTACAATGTATTTCTTCAAACTAACTCCCAAGACTTACAATGGCATATATATTTCTAGTTGACAAAAACAATCTGTTAAGTTTTCCCTCAAATTACTTGAAATCCTACAACTACGAAAGGCAAATTACACTTTAGAGAAGAAGTGTGATTCGATTCTCAGGACAGAAAAGTAAACTCAGATTTCTATCAATCCTATTTAAATTTAGATGAGAAAAGAAAGTAGTCATCTAACAAATCATTACAAATTCTAATTTGATTTTGTTTCAGAATCCTAAATAATCAAAACATTTTCCTTAATATTTCATTCTGCACAAGACACAAACCTAAAATTCAGTAAGCTACAATATAAATATTTCTCTATGGAAGCATCTGTTCTTCTTCTTAAATGTGAATGCCCTGATAGCTAATTTCTTTGAAAAACTTGAACGATTTCCAAAAACATTACAATAAATGGGGTAAAATGTAATGCTTACTGTGACAGGATTAAATAAGTACTAGAGAAATGACCTTAGAATGATTCTAAGATGTGGTTTAAGACAATACAAGTTTGATGACCAGGATGAAAAAGAACTCATTTCACAGGAACAGAATTGATCTACCTGGTTAGCAAATGGAAACTTTTAAGATGTTATAGTTTCCATGACTGCAACTTGTAGGAAAGGTTTCTTGTGACCGATAATCCTGATATGTCAATTTGATTGGATTAAGAAATGCCTAGAAGATTAGTAAAGTACTCTTTTGGGTCTGCCTGGGTGGGTCACTGAGCCGTGACCTTGGGTACTACGGTATATTTGGTCTCTGCTCCCTCTCTGGCACTATTCCCCTTCTCTGCTTTCTGGTAGCCATTAAATAAGCACTTTTAGTTTGCCATGCCCTTCTACCTTGATGTTTCTGCCCTGAAGCCAGCTAGCTATGGACTGAATCCCCTGAAACTACAGGCCAAATTAAGCCTGTTCACCCTTAAACTGTAGGTGTTGGGTACTATACAGTACATTATGACCAATACATTATGTGCTGATAATAATGAAAATATTCAACATGTATTTTGTTTAGTATCTGAAACTAACCTATTAAATCATTATTTTATTGTATAGATGAGAAAACTGAAGCAGAGAGGTATTAAGAAACTTGGTAATATTTTACATGCTTATATCTGGTAATCTGAACAACTACTTTGAAGATAACAACATACAATTTAACAACCATTGTTGATTTCCTATCACCTTGTTTTGAAATTGTGTATCATTTTTAATGTTATTTGAATTTTTTATTCCCTTTAAAATAAAAAAAAGAAACTTGGCAATGGTCACAGCTTGAGTTAAGTGGGCCATGGTCAGTGAGCCTGAGATAAGAGTGGTAATACCAGTCTATTCTCAGCTGTTCATTACCAGAGCATGTGTTGGACATTCACTACTGCTGCCCCAGGGCTACCATCAGTTGCCAGGAAAGCCAGATGGTTAAGGCACAACAGAGGAAGACATATGCAAACAGTATAAACCAGTTTTACAAGAACTCTACAAAAGGGTTAGGAGGAACATAAAGAAAGAATGGGCAGAAAACCAATGAATCAGCCTATACTATAAATGAATTTCACCTAGTTATTCTTTCTTTAAATAAAGAGAATTTAAAATATGTATTCTGGTCAATACATTTTCTTTTAAAAACATTAATTTACTGGCTTTACACATAAAAGGCCTCTGATGTATATTTATATGGGTCTGATTTTTAAGTTCCAAAATCCATGCACATTCATAGTACAGATTTGTGTACATACATAACACATATATAAAATTTAGGTTATAACATTATATCATTACTGTTTAAATACAGTTTGGGCAGAAGCTGTACTTTAACCACAGAATGTTCCTCTCATGACACTTGAACTGTTCTTCTCAGCAAGGAAAATTACAGTAAGAATTAAAAAAAATTACTTTTCTCTGTGACTCTTCGAAAGTAGCAGAACAGTGTTTTAAGCTTTTCTGGTTTCCTTGATGAACGTCCTTCAAACAGTCTGAAAGAGACCAAAAATAAAACAGGGTGGAGGATGATTTCAAATACCTTAAAGATTCATAAAACACTAAATATACATTGCTGCCATGTAATAAAAGTTCTTTCTGTGAAAGAGAGGTGGAGGACTGCCTGTCTGGGACCTGAAGCCAGGCTCCTCTGAAGCTGCTCAAGGCAGACAGCACTCTCTACCCACCTACTTCTACAATCCACCTTCCTCCTCTAGTCCCTTAAGGTCAACCAGGGCCAGCTGGTTAACATACAGCCATTTCCCCATGGCAAAGACAATTTAGAACATGTAATACCACTAGTTACAGAAGTGAACAAAAATGGTATCTGAAAAAAATCCACATCTGAGTGTCTGCAATGATTCGAGGGACTGTGATTATCAGAGAGACACAGGCAGGTGTGACAAGATGGGGGGAAAAGAACACCTGTGCTCTCCCAACATTCACATGAAGTGTGATCAAAATATATGATGAATGTTTAAATTAAAACATGTTATTATAGTAAAAGACACACTGCCATTAATCCTCCTCAAAATACCACTCCTTTTTCCCATCATTCTTGCAACTTTCTGAAGCAGTTCTGAAAGTCCTCTTTCCTAAGTGTCTTTATGAGGTATGTTAAGAAATTTGGTGAATGATGCTGCTGAGTGTTATCCAATGAAAAGGTGGTTTTGTAAAAACATTATGGTGTGTCCTCATTCACTTTAATTCACTATATCCGTAGGACTTCTGGCTTTCCCTCAAAGTAAAACTGACCATGAAAGATAAATATTTTGAATCAGTTCAGGATCTTGATTGAGGAAGCCATGATAGCACAACCAAAGACTCTCACAAAAGAGGATTTCCACAATTTCTTCAGAAAGTGGCAAGAACAATGGGTAAGTGTGTTCAAAATGGGTGGGGAGTATTTTGAAGGAGATTAAAGGCAATGTATCTTTTACTATAATACAGTTAAAAAATTTAAACACTCACCATAATTTTTAATCAATTCTCATCTATTGAGGCTGGTATCCTCGATGTGGCTGTGTTTGGAGAGAGGGCCTGTGAGGGAATGGTAAAGACTAAATGGGGCCATAAAAGTAGAGCAATAATCTTACAGGATTGGAGTCCTTCTAGAGATACCACAGCATTCTCTGCTAGGTGAGGACATAGCAAGAAGGCAGTAGTCAAGATGAGAAGAACACCCTCATCAGGACTTGAATCAGCTAGCACCTTGATCTGGTTGTGTAAGCTGACCAGCTTGTGGCATTTTCTTATGGCACATCCTGTGCTTGGAAAACAAAACAGTGCTACCGTATGTTACCCAGTTTCCAGCAACCTGGATTTGCATGACTTAATTTGGTTTTCTTTGAAATGATGTGGCATTGTTATTGGTAACACATAATTCAATTTATCCTGAGGAAAGAAAAGCAGGGCTTTTAGAAACATATGACCTGAGTAAGTAGTTCACTAAAAGATTTCTCACACAAAAGCCTGCTCTGGGGGCATAAGATCTGGCTTTCCAAAGTCATTTAAAAATCATAGGAAGATTCAGTGGCTATAAATGATGATTCTCTGCCTCTAGTCATAACTCTGACTTTTAAATCCAGAAACCCTTCAAGTAAAAGTCCACCTTAATAAGTGCTGAAATGGGTAACATTTTTCCTGATTAGAAGAGCAAGCTTATGTAACTATGCAGAGAAGGAAAAGTTAATTTCATGAGAAAATCCTATTGAGCAACTGAAATGAATTAGGAAAAGGAAAGGAAATGCAGATTTCAAATGATCCTGTTTACAATCATATGAAGCCTGTATTCAAGGTCAACTTCTGGAAAAGCAATTTATGAATACTTATTTCTCCCCAAGAATGTTCTAATGTTAGATAGTATCTAAACCTAATTTAAAATCTAATCTGTTTTAAAGAGTTTAAGAGTGCTTGTGTGATAATTTTTACACAAAGAATTTATTTAGAATATTTAAATACAGATACTCTTAAAATCCACCTGCCAAACTTTAAAAAAAAGTTCTTTGTGAGTACAGGTTTCAGCTTGATTTCTCTGCAATATATCAGAGAAGAGAGCATGTTTAAATCAAAATGATAGTCAAATGAAGAACCTGCGTGGCAGTTTAGTTAAATATCCCACACTGATAAATATGATTTATTAAATGATACCTTGGGCCCCTTTGCAAAATCCCTCTCCAGGTTTCCTACTTAGAAGAGGGAAGCAGTATGAATATGATAAGCAGCTGCCATCTCCTTCTAAAGATGAAGTGATATACTATACAATTCCATTAAGGGGAAAAGTTCTTCAAAAGAATTGTTGCACAGTAGAGAAAATGGCTGTTGCCCTTAAGGAATAATTCCCAAAAACACAAAAAGAAAAAGTGTCCTTAGCTTCTACATGTGGTCATCTATTTATAAAGTCACATAAAAGTCCACATATTTCATAACCATGATGTCAAATTATTAACCTTAGGAGCCTCTTGGGAGTGCAGATTTATTATTCTAGTGATAAGGGAGTTTCCTAGAAGATTATATAGCTGTTATTACTACCACAAATGCAAGTGTTTATTTTGCAAGCACAAATGTTAAAGGTACAAATCAAGCAAAATCTCAAAGCATTTTGTTTATTCATTGCTCCAAGCCTAATTTTAAATCACTGTGTAACAATCTCCAAGACAGAGTCAGGAAGGCACAAAGTGTGCGTCTGGAGTTGGGTGGAGACAGAATCAGCAGAGTTGAAGCAGGTTTAAAATTTCTGTGATAATCTAAGGGTTAGCTTTTAGAACATTTTAATGTGCTATGTACAGCCACACAAATAAAGAGAGCAAGCCTGCTATGGCAACAAGTGAAAACAACAGAAATACACAGGTAGTAAGCATGAATGAAAACCAGCACAGGAATGATGTATGTACAGTCTGAGGGATCAGGGCAGGGGAGAGGGAAGAGAAAGATGGTGGAAGGAAAGCAGAAAGGCTGAATGAATTGGTGTGGAGACAAAGGAGGATATGAGAGACACTTAGATCAAGGGACAGAGAGAGAGAGAGACAGAGAGAGAGACTTTGTTATAATAACAAACCAACATCTAAATTTTTTAAACTTCCCAATGTTGACCTTTAAATTTAGGTTTTTCCAAGTCTTGGGTATGTATGTTTGGAGACGTTCTTTGAGTCAGCAGCATGTAGGTAAACAGGTACACAAAATAGGACACTAATAATCCCTGTGAATGTAGGGAAGACAGTTTGGTATTTTACTAGATAATAATTAGAGATTATTTAAACAAGCAAATAGAAAGAGCTAGTCAGGCCGCCTCACATGGTTCTAAACAAAACAGTTGCATTTTCATGGGAAGAAGTCAATCAAGGGTCAGATACATATTAACTGGTGCTTTTCTTACCATACTTATAAAGAAAAACATAGTTTAATAAAACCTCTCCTTGACTGGAATATTGATAACATTACTGAAATTGAATTCTAGATACACACATACACAACCCCCCTGCCCTGTGCCATTTTAAATTACAAATTAATCCATTAGTACATAGTAAATCAAGCTCGAAGCACTACAACTTCCAGTTTAAAATATATAATGTAAGATGGAGCCAGAAAGTCACCGCTGGCTCCTCTGTGAGGCTCTCAGCCATATGGCCCTAGCAACATTTCCAATCCAAGCAAGAAGCAGATGTCGAAGCCTCTTGGGCTGACCACTGCTGAGACCGACAATTTATCTCTGACTATCTAGTTTCCTTGCAATCTCAGAAGCATCAATGCTAATCACATTGGAAGCCTTTATATGCATGTTGAGGCCCTGAGAGGCAAGCAGGGGAAAAGGTCAGGCATATTTAACATAACTAGGCAGGTCTGGAAGAACACAACAATAAATAAAAAGGGAGACTTATTCAATTTATTGACGTCAGCCTCCTACCACTTACTCTTACCATTTTTCTTATTCAATCAGCTAGCCAGCCGTACCTCATCTGAGATTAAGCACTCACATGTACTCCAAACTGCCAGAAACAATAGTCATAAACACAAACATAACAAAGTGCTATACAAGCAGCTTACCAAATGTCACAACAGAAGCCACACGGAACGGGAACGTTGGGCTGTGTTCCACTTCTGGAGTGCTCTCAGAGCCTTCTGCTCTTGAAAGGCAGCGAAAAGCACAACAGCATGAAGCTGGTCAGGATGAAGTAGGGGCAGTGACAAAATGTCTAAGGCACAGAAACCAGTGTTCAAGTCCTAGTTCTGCTGACTGGTCATTCATTCTCCCTGAACCTCATTACTATAGAAGCTTCCCTACCTAGAGTCTTCCATCAAAGGCATCAAAGCGAGTCACCAGTAGACAACATCAATGACTATGTAGTCATCATTCCTGTTAGTGGGGTTCATTAAAACACACCTTCCTTCCCCTAACTGAGACAAGTGCAGATGTGCTAGCCCTGCAACTGTGGAACCCATCACATGCTTACTCCATTTAATGAATTTTCAATGTTCAGGCATTCAGTCTGCCCAAAAGACAAGAGTACACTTGGCTTTATATCTTCAACAGATCGAGTTAAACTCTTATTTGGTGAAATGCTATTTACTGCAAATGTTATTTACTGGACTTACAAAAATGGCTTTGATTCATTTAATAGATGAGAACTTTCCTTAAGGATTGTTCTAATTTCTGACTAGCTATGAGGTAAGAATTATTAACCTGCTTCATTCAAATGGAAACTGCAGCGGAGTGGCCAATGGACATAGCTTCTATAAGCAGACTCTACCCTGAACTGAATCTACTCATGTTGACTTGGCAAAGTACTCTAACCCCTCTAAACCTCCATCTCGCCATCTGAAAAACGGGAACAACAACAACAACATCTAAGCAATATCGAATTCACAAGGTTGATGTGAGGATCGACTAAAAAATAATTTAGCAGTGATTAGTATACAGTGCTTAATAAAATTAGCTATTGTTATTAAGATATACTCATACAAATAATTTCAGATAATGCTAAGTAAGCTGAGATAG